ATCCATGGAGCAGCCCTGGGCCGTGTGGGGCCTTGGGTGCGAAGCCCGGCCCTTCCCTCTAGGAAGGGCATCATGGTGGGTTAGTAGGGATCGAAGGAGTCCCACAGGGTGTTGTCTCAGGCAGAGAGGGCAAGTGAGGGGCGGAGCGGGTAATCAGGACCCCATCTGCACATAGCAGCCCGGGACCATGTGATGACGGCCGCAGACAGAGCCAGCAGGGTGTACCGGGACTGTGTCTCCTCCACCAGGCAGGCACCAGGCTGCTCCACTGCTCACCGTGCACTCGGCACGGAAGGCGGAAGATGATGACTGACACCCACCTCCACGCTGCGTTTAGCTCAGCACTTTCCTGAGGCGGCCTTGGAGGAAGGGCTGGCCGGGCGCCTGCTGCAGAGAATGAGGATGGCAGAGAGTGCAACCTGATAACCAGGCTGGTAACGAGGCGGACCCGAAGCAAGCCAGCGGCTTCCATCCCCACAGGAGGGAACACCGATTACACGCGCTACGGCTCTGCGGCGCTTTATAAAGATTCCCTCTCAGGACACTATGAGGAGCACTGTTTAAAAATCATAGTCCAGAGCGTCCGTTTGTCATCTTGGCAGAGTAAAACAAGTGTATACATGTATAAGTTTAACTTAAAGAAGGCTCTAACACCTGTTCCTCTTTCCAAAAGCATCTCCTGCTTTCTGGGTACCCCAGGCCCCTAGATGGTATAAATTCACACAGCTATTTGCAGTTCTAGGAGGTTACAGGAGCCCAATTCTCAAGAGGCATTTATTTGGTGAGTGAGAAGTTATTCACCCTTGTAATTCACACAAGGCTTGGCTTACCTATCATGATTCAGCACTGTCTTCATAATTTCTGTCACACCCAAGAACCTCTGGGGATGATACCAATAAAAGCAGGTAATAGCTGGGTGTGGTAGCACACACCTGTAATCCTAGTATTAGGAAGGCTGAGATAAAGAGGATCATTAGTTCAAGGCCAGCTTGCGCTGCAGAGTTACAGCTTGGCTTACAACAAAAGCAAAAGCAACAAGTTAGGTATAATAGGGCACACCTGTAATCCTAGCTACTTGGGAAGGTGGAGGTAGGAGAATCACAGTCTGCGACTATTAAAAGAAAACAAAACTGCCACCACCACAAAAACCTAAAAGCAAAACAGCAGGTGGCAGGCATGCCCAGATGGTAACAAGTGCAAGGCTCTGAGGTCAAGGTTAAAGGGAGGGAGAGGAAGGAAGGAAAGGAAGAAAGGAAGGAGGAAAGGAAGGAAGGCAGGCAGGCAGGCAGGCAGGCAGGCAGGCAGGCAGGCCAGCCGGCCTACCTCCATGGCTAGAATCCAACTTTAGCTTGCCCCCTATTGGCAGGGCCTCCAAATACCATCCAGAGTTCAACAATCCTAAAGTCCACAATGCACACACGCGTGGAGTCAGGACCTAGAGATCACTGGGTATCTTTCTGGCTATGCCTTTCCTGCTCCCCCACCCCACCTCCAACCAGTTCCGTTTTTCCTGGGACACAAGAGGGGCCAGGTGGCACCTCCACGGCAATGGGGGAGGAAGGCTCAGGCCTTTTCTCATCTAACCCCCCTTCACGGGCCAGTTCTCCCAAGCCCTTAGCTGTCTTGAGTTTGTGGCTCCATGGGGAGACGGGGATGAGTGCAGGGTCCCCAGGGGAAGGGCAGCTGGCGGCTGGAATTTAGGAGCTGGGAAGCACTGCCCCAGGCCACAGGCACCTGGATTCAAAGCAAGGTCCAGGTCAGGTTCTGAAGGGTAGAACATTCTAGCTATCCTGGTGACAGCACGCATTTACAGGTCAGCAGTGAAGGATTTCATTGTTGCTCACTTTCTCCCCAACTAGCTCTGCTATGGAGCTTTGGTTCCCGGAGCTCCAGTGCCTATTAGAGTAACGAGAGCAAGGTTTTAGAGAAAAGGAAATAAACTGGCTGGCAAATTAAGGTATGCAGGATTCAATGCCCTAAAGAGATGGATGAGTGTGTCTGTGTGTGGTAAGAAGAGCCCCAAATGTTTGGAAATTTCTGGAAGACTTATTTTATAGATGGAAAGGTTGCCTGATTGCAGAACTGGAAATCAAGCCAATTAAGATCTTGACAGGACCCCAGTACCATGGATGCCCTTTATCATCCGGTCAGTACCCCAAGCAGAGGGGGACATAGCTATAGTTTTTTCCGGAATTCAGCTGGTGACACTTCTGGAATGTACAGAGACCAAAGGAGAAAGTTCACATGGAGATTTTCATGTTTACTGCTAGTCCCTAAATCCTCCCGAATGAGGAAACGCAATTATCTTTTCCAGCCTGGTGGAGGAGGAGGCAAAGCTGCAAACATGTTTGGTGAGATCTGGGTAAGAGCCAGGGAAAGTCCAAGAGGAGGGGAAGGCCAGGTGGCCAGCATGAAGGGCCAGGCTTGCAGACCAGGTTAGACTACTGTGAACTGGAAGTCATAGGAGCCCTGGGCCCCAGCCTAACCGGGGCTGGAGGCCAAAGGCTGTCAGATCTTTGTAGACATAGTCCTTGCATTTTTTGATTTAACAAATGAAGAAACTGAGGCCTGAGTATAAAGGTGCATCACCTGCCTGGAGGCAGGGGAGGGTGCAATTTGAGGCTGGCTCTGGATGTTTTGGCTTCCTGCATGGTGGCCTGGCTAACTGAGCTGGGGTCAGAGGTAGGCCTCAGGCTTCAGGACACTTTCTCTGTAGATGGCTCAGCTGCTGAGCAGGCCTGGCATAGGACCCCAGCTTCTCCCTGGTCTGTGAACTGCGGAGAGTTGAGGGGTGACCTCCCTGGGTGATTCTGAGTTGTGTGTCAGATACAGGGAAGGCCGCGGGCCTGGCACAGAGCAGGTGCAAGGTAAATGCATTCTCACTTAGACTATTTCCCACGAAGCCTTGCTCCCTCCCAGAAAATCATTTAAAAGGAAGCGAAGGGGACAGGAAGAGACCAGCTCAGCAGACACAGAGAAGCTGAGCAGAGACATGAAGGACATCTGTGGGGTCAGAAATTGAACCTGGGATGGACTTGGGCTTTGCCTGTGGGAGGAGAAGAGACACATCATCTGTTGCCTGCCAGGGTCCTTGGCCTTGGCCAGATGGCTGAGCAGGGAGGAATGAAGCAAGCAAGCAAGCAAGCAAGCTCCCTCAGGAATGGCCCATGGGGGTGGAGCTATAACAGCTGGAGATGAGCAGACCTGCAGGCAGACCTGGGGACAAGGATTCCCATGAGAGAGTTTTTCTCTGGGATAAATGGCTAGGTTATGTCATCATACAATTTAAATATGCTAATTGGCTTTTGTTTCCATCCTAGAATCAGACTACTCGTCCTGTAAACCAAGGTGAGCTCCTGTGAAGTGAGCTGTAGAGGTTGGTTCACAGATAGAAATGGGCTGATGAAAGTTACGTGTGTGTGTGTGTCTGTCCTGGGGCTTGAACTCAGGGCCCGCGAGATGGTCCCAGGCTTTTATGCTCAAGGGTGGCACTCTGCCACTTGAGCCACAAGTCCACCTCCAACTTTTGGTGGTTAATTGGACATATGAGTCTCATGGATTTTCCTGCCATAGCTGGCTTTGAATTGTGATCCTCAGACCTCAGCTTCTTGTACAGCTAAGATTACAGGCATGAGCCACCAGTGCCTGGTCCATTCTTCTTACTGTTTTACTGTTAGGGTTTTGGAATTCTGAATAATTTGTGAACACGTGGTCTCACATCTCCAGTTTGCACTGGGCTCTCATGCACAGATGCACGTAGCGTCGTGTTTTGTCACTGTAAGTTCCCACAAAGTATGTCCTCCACTGTGTAACCCCAGAGCAGTAACCTGCAGGGTGGAGGTAATGTCTGATGCCAACCTCTAGGTGGCAGCAGTCTCCGCAGGATTACTGAATCCATGCATTGTTTTCTTTAAAAAATTCTGTTTTCCAATGCAACATGCGATAGAAAACAGTACACATACAAGAAAAAGTTGATATTGTTCTCTCTCCCCCTCTGTGTGCTGGTCCTGGTGCTTGAACTCAGGACCTGGATGCTGTCCCTGAGCCTTTTCACTCAAGGCTGGTGGTTTACCACTTGTGCCTCAGTTCCACTTCTGACTTTTTGGTGGTTAACTGGAGATGAGTCTCACAGACTTTCCTTCCCAATCTGGGTTTAAACTGCAATCCTCAGATCTCAGCCTCCTGCGCAGCTAGGATGACAGGCATGAGCCACTAGCTCCTGACTCCTTAAAAACCTTTTATGTCTGCTGAAATCTGCAGGACCCTTCTCCCTTGCCAGGAGAGATGAATCTAGCTTGCAAGGCTTATGCAAAATAGCATAATAAAAGGGATCCTAATTTTAAAAATGCAACGCTGGTCTTCATTCTCCTCCCCTGGCCCCATGAGATATTCCACAAGCTGATTTGCTTCCCACCAAGATGACTGCAGCCTGCACCTCGCTATGGTGTCTGCGCATGCCACCCTACACTCAGTGGAGATGGCGCCACCCTTCAGTAGCTCAAAGAACAAATCCTCAGACTGCCTCTCCCCCATTTCTCTGTCTCTCTGTCTCTCTCACACACACACGCATACACTCACGTTTACACACACAAATCAAATCCAGCGTTTTGTTTTGTATTACAAGTGTTTTATAGAATGTTCCTCTGCAAGGGTACTGTGGAATTAACATAATGGTCACGCAGGTCTCACATGGAGCCCTTCTCTATCTTCCCGAAGGCCTCTGCGTTGCAGTTCACTAACTCCCTGCTATGGGCTTTGCCGTCCACCGCTGAATTCATGAATTTGTTCACCACTTCTTCAGCCACAAACTGTGCTGCACTGAGCGGCAATTGGTGAACGAGAGCCATAAGAATTCCTGCTTTCTTGTCCCTAGCAGCAGGCCTGCGTCATAAACGTGCAACACAGACACACCTGGTTCTGGGTTTGCAGAGAAGGGAAAGACAGCTGTGTATGGGTTCCAGGACAAGCTCAACATATAACACAAATAATCCATTCAGATGGTGTAATGGTGGTGACGGCCTTTGCAAATTTGCTCCCTGCAGTGATGGATCATCCATGACAGTGCAGAGGCGGGGCCTCTCGGGCCGGACCACGCCCCTTCACAGAAGGACACCTACATCACACACCACAAGGGAGATTGGCCCCATCTGTGAAAGACCCATGCCAATCATTTCAAACATGGCACCAGAGAAAGGTAGCACCTAATAGAAAAAACAGCTTTATGGACTCTGTCCAGCAACCAAAAAACAAAAAAGAAAATAAAAATTCCAATGCTCAAGATATGATACACAAACCTACGCAAGTAATAAAAATCAGATAATGCCAACCAGCCCCATGCAATGCCATCGTGCTCTGCATATCAGAAAAGCAGAGGCCCAAGAGAGCCAGAAGCAGCGCCCCTCCCCTCCTCCACAGCCAGTGGGGCCAGCTGAGCATCTTGCAGCACTTCACTGTCCTTCCTGCTTTCTGGACGTTTCCCCAACTTCTCCACCATCGCTAAAGTGTGTTCTAGACCTCTCTCTCTTCTTGTGCCGCCAGCCAGGTCCCAACCGTGGCTACCACGTGGCATCACCCACACCAGTGACTACATGAGGCAAGGAGGCCCCCCTCCCCAGAGGCCCCCCATCTCTCCGTGAGGACCCCCAGGGCCCCAGCCGAGGGCCAGGCAGCCTCCAGCATGTTCCCTGTACACGCTGCCGTGCTGCTTTCTTGGCGTGACAGATGGGCTGAGGACTTCCCAGCCTGACGCCAGGGAATGGCCCAGATCCTGTCTATCAAGATCTAATCCTTGGGGGGCCCACATGGCACCCCTCTCTCCTGTGCCCGGCTACAAGCCAGCCATGTCATCTGGGGGTGCCAGGCAGCTGAGGGGGGTCCCTTAAGCACGCCACATAGGTCTCACTCAGAATGGGCTGGGCTTGGACCCCAGCCTTGCTCCACTGATACACCAGTGAAAAAGACAGGGTGCAGCCGAGCAAGGAAAGCTGAGGCCTTAAAACTGAGAGGGAGGTAGAGGAAACGCACGGAAGCTCCAACGCAGAACCTAAAGTGAAGTTAACTTCAAAGAAAAATACGTGTGTGTACACACATGTGCACGTGAGAGACAGAGAAACAGAGACAAGACAGGGAAGGGCAGGAGCAGAGATCCTGGAGTTGGGGAGACACGGGGCGGAGGGGGGGAGAGGGGGGCAGGGCGACCCCTGAGCTCAGTGTGGAGGCCTCCCCTTCTGTAGAGAGGCCCAGGCCTCAGCACACCTCAGGAGGCCTGCTGACACCCCACGGGGGCAGTGCAAGGTAATCCTGCTGCTTCAGTGACTTGAAGAACTGGATGGCTGGCATCTGGGCTGTGGGCTGGCACAGTGGCTTCTTGGCCGGGCAAGCCTGCTCTAGGTCCCCGACCTCAGGGCCGGGTCCTGGGGAGGAGGGCTTGCTATGAGGGGAGAGAGGACCGGGTCCCAGGCCAGGAAGGAAACAGTAGTCTCCCACCTGCTGTAGGACAAGGAGACCCTCAGAATGTGGAGACATTGGGGCCACATCCTCCCGAGTCTCCCCTGGGTTTGGGGTGAGGCTGCTGAGCTTGGGAGGGTCAGGACCACCCACAGGGGACTTGGGGGCGTGGCTCGTGGCTGGAGGAAGCTCCACGTAGCCCTCAAACGCTGGCTTCTCTGAGGCTGCTCCAGCAGGCCTGCTGGGAAGTTGAGGACAGAGGCTGGGGTCGTGGTCTGAGACAGGGACAAGCGGGGCCGAAGAGACCGACGTGGTCCCTGTGGGCAGGGCGAAGGCCATGTCTGCAGTGGTAACATAGTCGGAGGCCACCACGGGAGACGCAGGGGTAGCAGGCAGAGCTGCCGGGCTGCCCTGTGGGTCCTGTCCACTGGCCCCTGGCTCGGAGGTCATGGGGTGAGGGCCAGGGCCTCTCCCAGACTCCAGGGAGGGGCTCTCCTCGCATCCCTCCAGGCTGCGCTGACGCTCCTCACTTGCAGGCTGGCTGTGCTCTGTCACCTGGGCCAGGGGGACCAAGTGCACCTGTCCCCCAGGGGGCAAACACAGGTATTCCAGGGAGCTTGGCAGTGGGGGCCTCGGGCTCCCACCCCCCTGTGAGGGTGGGAAGCCCACGATATCGGGCAGGGAGCGGGTGTGGGGGGCCCCCAGGTAGGGGCCATTGAAGTCGAAGCTGGAGATCTGTTTTTCAGGGTGGCCTGTGGGGGCCGGGGAGTCAGGTGGAGGGCTGGGGGGCTGCTCCGCGGGCAGGCTAGGGTCAGCTGGGGTGGTGTCTGGCTCAGATGGTGAATCGTAGTTAACATGGAGGTCCTCTGTGGTGAGAGGCGACACCTCACTGACCCTCAGTCCCCTGTGGGAAGATCAGAGACCGAGGTGTGGAGGCCGCGGGGGCAGGTGACTGCACATGCCCAGGAGAGGCTGGGTGATCCGGAAGTCCTAGCATCTGATCTCACAGTCAGTGCGCAGGAGAGACCAGGCCTCAAGAGGTTTTGTATCTTGGTAATCATCACATATGCAATGCTTAGCTCAAGGTCATCTACAGAACCTTCAAGGTCATCCACAGAACCTTCAGGCCAGGTTCATGATATGCCTGTGCTCCAATCCTGCCTTTGATTATTCTACCCACCAGGCCAACAATTCTCCCCAACAGACAATGCCGTTTTACAAAAGGGGCAGGGGCCCTGGGGGGTGGGGAGTACTCCGTCAACCATGCAGCCTCTGCCGTGTGGCACCTCCCTGGGTCACAGGGCAAGGGAGAGGCAGGGGGACTCTAGTGAAGTCCCTGTCCCTGGTCTGTGCTTCCCTAACCTGGGAGTCAGGAAGTTCTCCCCGAGTCTACCTGGGAGCTGCTGTGGGTCTGTTCCCCTATGAGCCACAGGCCACATCATCTCCACCCATGGTGTAACAGTGGGGTTACACTGGCCTCCCGCTCCCCAGGGGTCAGGCGCAGTCAGAGCCACACACACACACACACTCACCCCTCCAGCTCAGGACACAGTCCCCATGGTCCCCAGGAAGGGGGGCTTCTGCCGGCGCCGGCCCATGTGCTGTCTGGGAGTCGCAGCCCTGCGCTTCCACCCTGCAAGAGGAAGGACATGGGTGCCTGTGGGTGGTGGGGACCCCGGGGATCAGTGGAGGAATGGGGGAACTCAGGGAGCCGTATCCGCATGTCCTGACTAGCCACGGCCTTCAGACACCAAGGACCTGAGGCCCAGGGAGGGCTGCGATGACCCCGGGGCTCCTGAGCAGCCAAGGACAGGGTAGCTGCGGATCCCAAGCCTCCCAGTGAGGTTTCCTCCGGACATGGACTGTGGCCCCTCACAGGCCAGTGCTGCCTGGCCACGGGCTCCTGTGCCCACCACTGATGTCCACCATGGCCGCCCTCCTCCCCGGATCCACCTTCCCACCAGCCCAGCCTCCAAGCGCTCGAGGCTGGGGCCGTGCCAGGACAGGCCCGGAGGTGGCGGAACACTGACAGGGAGCCAGGAGCAGAGCCCCAGCCAGGTCTCACCTGGAACAGGAGGCTCTTGCTGGGGTTGGGCAGCCTCTCCTTCCACTTCCTGTTCAGCCTGGAAGACATCAGGGAGGTGGCCATCACCAGAGACCTCAAGGCCAGCTATGTGCAGAGGGGAAACGGAGGTCCCACACGCAGGTGGCAGAGCAGGAAGCAGCAGCAGGTCTGGCAGCCAGGCCTGGTGGTCCCTGGGGTCCTGGCTGGCCTCACCTGAGCTGCAGCGAGTACTGACCTGTATCCATAGATGCCGCAGAAGCGCAGGGCCACGAGCAAGGTGGGGGTGACTCCAGCCAGGATGAGCGGCAGCACCCACAAGGGCAGCACTTGGGCAGCAGAGGGACAAGGAGTGTCAGGTGGGAGGGAAAGGCCTGGGCCTGGAGTTGCCTGGGGCTTGCTGTCCCTCAGGACCTCTGCTTGGGCCCAGGGCTTGGAGGGTGCTGGGCAGGGCGGCCAGACACAGCTAAGAAAGAGGCCTGGGTGGAGACCCGGAGTCACAGAGCAGGACACTGGGGGTGGGGCAGGCCTGGATGCCAGCACCGGTGGTGTAGGAGGCACAGGTTTGGCCTGACCATCTTGGGGACTTCGCAGAGGTGTTGTTGTGAGCCCTGGGCCTCCGGGTACAGGAGGGAGGGTGAGGTGGAGGGGCCCATGGTCGTGTGTCTATGCCCAGCCCTCCCTGTCTGGGTCCGTGGCGCTGCCCAGGAGGTACAGTCGTGAGGCAGACATACCCGTCTCTGTGGTCCAGGACTGCTCCTCACTCCACTCGCTCCAGATCCCATTGTAGACACCGTAGTTGGGCCTGACCCTCACCCTGGCCACGTACATGGAGGCGGGCTCCAGAGTGGGCAGTGCCATGCTGTGGGCGTTTTGCAGGATCTCTTTCTTGCTGGCCTGGGGAGAGCAGGTGCACCGAGGCTGAGGCCCAGGCCCTGGCCTGGTGCAGCAGGCTGGCTGCCATCCCTCCCCCTGCCATCCACGATCAGCTGTATCCAGAGCTCCTAGGTTCTCGTGGTCACCACGGGGGACCCCATCAGACCATGCAGTCCAATAGTACATCAATGGGACCAGACCCTCCTGTACCTCCCACAGTGCCAATGATGACACCTGGGCCCGGAATCCCTTGGGCTGACCTCCTCCTACCATTCCCTGGAGGCCCCTCTACCATCCAGGTATTCTGGGGGTGGCCCTGTACCCCAAATCCAGCCTATTCAGGAAGGCAGGACAGGTAGATTGCACCCTGGTCTCAGAAATTGGATCCACAAACCTAAGCCTCCTCATTCTGCCTGACACCCCCTCCTGCCTCAGTTTCCCCATTTTTGGCCTAGGCTAGGGGCTTGCTCTCTGGAGCCAATGGCTATGCACAGGTCCTAGACCTGCCTGGTGGAGGGGACAGAGACAGAGGTGTGGGGGGGTTGTGGGCAGCCTTGGCCTCAGGACCAGTCTATTCCCAGTTGCTATCCTTTGGGTCCAGATACCATTCCCATGTATCATGTTCCCAGGACTTTGGGACTTGAAAACCTCCATCCCTTTATCTCAGCTGGCCCCACACTGATGGGCTCTGAACCTTGTAATTCAGGGTCCATTCTGGTCACGTGACCATGTCATGTCAGCTCTAGGAGCCTCAGTTCCCTCACCAGGAAATGGGGCGGTGACCATCTCATTTCTCAGGGGTGCAGTCACTCAAGTCCCAGTGGTCACCTCTGACAGCTGCAAGGCCCAGGCAGAGGAGGCTCCTTGGGGTGGGGGCTCCCTCCCTCTCCTTCCCTCCATTTCCTGTTGTTGTTGTTATTTTTCCAGGTCCTCACCTCCCAATCGGCTGTGGATTTCCTGTACTGGACCTCGAACGTGTGGTCGATGTGCGTGTAGTACATTTTCTTGGTTTTCCAGCGCAGGCTGTAGCTCTCTCCATCCTTATTCACAGTGAGGGTGGGGCATGGCATCTGGACTGCAGGGAGGGAAACTTTCAGGGTCACCAGGTCATCACCCCTGCAGTGGTCACAGGGGCCCCAGCTCCCCACCACTGAGGCCTCTTTGGGCCTCGCCAAGCCACCACATCAGCAGTGTCATCATGGCCACTCAGCTCCTGGGAGATGCCTAGATAGGCTTCGTCGTGCCTGCTGGCTGGTGTTTGTAAGCAGTAGAGGCTGTCAACTGCATGACAGCCACCATCAAGCTTGGAGTCCATTCTCACTGCCCTCCATGCCAGGTCCTACAGCGCCCTCGTGTTATACGCTGGGAACCTGGTCTCAGCATAGTTAAGAAACCTGTCCCAGGTGGGCAGATACACAGTGGAAGAGCAGACTTCTTGCCCTTCCCTGCTGCCCTAGTGTCTTTAGATGGGACTGTTTTGTGCTTCTCGACCTCAGCTCTTTTGCTGGAAGGTATGAGGTGTGGAGCCAGGACCCAACCTGCTTACAGGTTCTCACCATCTGGAAAGCCCCCACACCAGCTGTACTTGGCCTTCAGCCACGTCTAGGTGGCTCCCTGCCCAGCCACACTGTGAAGCCTCTTTGAGACAGTCCCTCCCACTTGGCCTCAAGGTAGAAAACACAAAGAACAGAGAAAGTGGAAACAGTATCAGAATTTCTGCATACTAATCTTGATTTACCTCCTACTAGCTTGGCATCTTTAAGTTAGTCACTCAACCTATTATCTATCCATTAGGAAAAACAAAGATGGCTCATAACCAAATAAGGGGTAAGATGGCAAACTAAAAGCATCTTCCATTTTCACTCTGTGAAGAGAACAATCTGGTGTCATTGAGGAGACCAGATTTTAAAGTGAGAAAGAAAAGAAGAGAGCCAGAATCAATGGAAGATGTGGCCAGAGCCAGAACACTGTAGAACAACTTTCTCAGCAGGAAGAAAACAGCATAGAACAGAGCTACCAGCAGCCATGTCCCTGCACCGGGGGAGGGAAAACTAAAGTCTGCAATCTGGTACTCCTGAAGGAAACAGTCCTCACTCCCAGAGCTAAGGAGCACCTCACAGATTATATTCTCTCCTTCTCTCTCATACATTTAGAGAAGCAAGAACAATCAAAAACATACTTTGCATTATGTACGTCGGTTTGTGCTGTTTTGGTTTTATTGCTTTAGCTGTATATTTTTGTTGCTGTTTGGGTTTTTTCTTTAAAAAATCTATATGGCTGATACAGTAGTCTTTTTCTTTTCTTTTCTTTTTTTGGTTGGTGGTAGGGCCTGAACTCTTGGTCTGGATGTTGTCCCTGAGCTCTTCAGCTCAAGGCTAGTACTCTGCCGCTTGATCCACAGCGCCACTTCTGGCTTTCTTCTGCTTATGTGGTGCTAAGGAATGGAACCCAGGGCCTCATGCACACTAGGCAAGCACTCTACCATGGAGCCACCTTCCCAGCCACTAGTTCTTAACTTTTATCATAGACTATTTACCTCATCCCATCCACCATTTCCTTCTGCTTCTCCTGCTCCTTCTTTTTCTTTGAACTCAGCATGTCTGTATCAAGCCTACCTACTGAAATTCAACTTCCTTCCTTCCTCCCTTCCTTCCTTCCTCCCTTCCTTTCCCATCCCTTCATTCTTTCCTTCCCTTCCTTTTCTTCCTTCCCTTCCCTTCTTCCTTCCCTTCCCTTCTTCCTTCTTTCCTTCCTTTTTCTCTCTTTCTTTCTTTGCCAGTCCTGGGGTTTGAACTCCTGGCCTGGGAACTGTCCCTGAGCTTTTTTTGCTCAAGCCTAGCACTCTACCACTGAGCCACAGAACCATTTCTGGCTTTTTCTATGTGATTCTGAGGAATTGAACCCAGGGTTTCATGCATTCTAGGCAAGCACTCTACCACTAAGCCACATCCCCACCCCCTGTAATTCAAGTTTAAATCATACCTTTGTCCTCTTTCTGTAGCCCCTCTCCACCCACTACACTTTCTATCTACTGGTAGAAAAGCTCTCTTGTCCGTATTTATTTTTATCCCTGCTCCCCTATACCAAATCCCTCCTCATTACCTGCACTCCCATCAGGTAACTAAGTTACCTAAATATAATTTGATTCAACTGTTTTTCTGTTTCTTTTTAGGGATTTTGAGCTATGTTTTGATTGAGCATTCTTACTCTTTTGCTTGTTTTTTTTTTTTCCTTTTTTTTCTCTATTTGCTGTTATTTGGGATGGTGTGTGTGTGTGTGTGTGCATGCGCGCGCGGGGGGGCCTGCACACACACACACACACACACACACACACACACACACACACACACACACAAGTACCTACTTACCTATTCACATCTCTTCTATTATAACCCATCAGCTAGATTTTCACTTCTATCTTACTCACACTTCACCCCAGACATTGCCCAAAGGCATGTATTCCAGGGGGGAAAAATCACTCACCTAACAAATCAACAAGGTGAAATGCTGCTATCAAGAACCAGCAACTCCATAATAAAGGATTCAAGTGATACTGAAGCAGAAGAAAGCTCAAACAAGGAGGTCAAAACAGTAATGACAAGAATGGTCAATACAATAAAAGAGGTGACAATAAATAGCTCAACAAATTCAAAGATGAGTCCAGCAATAAGAGAACAAGAACTGGAGAGCACAAGAAAACACAGGAATGAAATATAGAAGGTGATGCAGAATATAAAAGAGGAAATCAATAATGATGTCAAAATCTTGAAAAAAATCAAATTGAAATCCTGGAAGAGAAGAGCTCAGTAACGCAAATAAAAAATGCAATTGAAAGCCTAGCTTATAAAAGAGAAGGTGAAAACAGGCTATCAGGGGGTGAAGATAAAGCAAAGGAAGTAGATCAAAGACTGTTGAAAAAAAAAAACCACTTAAGTTACAAAGAGGACTTATAAGCTCAGACTCTGCCAAAAAACCAAACCTACATATAATGGGGATAAAAAGGGAGCGAAATAAAAAACCAAAGGCATTGAGAGCCTATATAATAAAATAATAATAGAAAACATCCACAATTTGAGAAAGAAGGGGGCATACATCTGATGGAGGCTTAAAGAACTTCCAACAGGCAAGATTAGAGAAGAAATACCCCTAGTGTTTTATAGCTAAAACACTAAATTGCAAAGAAAAAAAGAATATTGAAAGCCTCAAAAGACAGTAGACAAGTAAATTACAGTGGCAAGCCCATTAGAATATCAGCAGATTTCTCTATGCAAACGCTAAATGCAAGGAGAATATGGCATGACATAATTCAAGTCCTGCAAGATAATAATTGCCAACCTAGCCTACTGTCCTTTATGAGTGAAAGAGAAATAAGAACTTTCCATGACAACTGAAAGCTAAAGAAATTAATGATTAACAACTAAAACTGCAAAAAACCAATAAAATACTTAAAGGCATTCTGTGCAAATCCCAAACAGAAAAATATAGGAAAGAACAAAATCTACTAGAGGAGATTAGCAAGTATGTAAAAAAAGATCAAAATGACAAGAAATACGATGTACCTTTAACTTTCTTTCTTGTGCTGGTCCTGGGGCTTGAACTCAGGGCTTGGGCACTGTCCCTGCCTCTTCTGCTCAAAGATAGTGCTGTACCAGTTGAGTCACAGCTCTACCTCTGGCTTTTTCTGTGATTAATTGGAGATAAGAGTCTCAGGGACTTTTCTGACTAGGCTGGCTTTGAATCCTCCTCAGATCTCAGCCTCCTGAGTAGCTAGAATTATAGGCATGAGCCACCAGCTCCTGGCTCAATGTTAACATTAAATTTGTAATGGTCTTAATTGTCCAACATTCCACAAGACCCAACCATTTGTTGCCTACCAGAAACACATCTCACTTGACATAGACAAACACAGCGTTGAAGAATGGAAAAAAAGGCCTTCCCAGTAAATGGACCCTGAAAGTAGGATATAGCTGACAAAATGGGCTTCAAGCTAAAAGTAGTCAAAAGAGACAAAGAAGGTCACTTCAATTTAATAAAGGGAAGCTAAAGTAGAATTTATAGTAGTTTTCATGCACCAAATAACAGCAGACATGAGTTAATTAAACAAACAATTCTGGCTTTACAAATGCTGATAGATCAACAAAAGTAGGATACTTCAATACCCCACTCTCACCAATAAGAGGTCATTCAAACAACAACAAAAAACTCAAAGAAATCTCAGAACTAAAGAACATCATAGATCAACTAGACATAAGAAACATCTACGGAGTATTTCGTCTAATAGCAGCATAACACACAATTTTTTCCTCTGCAACTCATGGAAATATCCCTCAAATAAATCATTTTTTGAGATGTAAATTAAGCTTCTACCAATGGAATGAAATAAAAAATCACCCTTCATTGTATCTGACCATAATGGAATTAAACTAGAACTCAATGACAAAATACTACAGAAAATATATAAATACATGTAGACTGAACAACATACTGTTGAATGACCAGCTGGTTATTGAAAAAATAAAGGGAAAAAATGTGAAGTTCCTGGAATTAATGAAAATGAGAACACAGCCTGCCACAGCCTGTGGAATATAGTGAGACAGTGCTGAGGGGAGCATGCAGAGCCAGGAGCGCACACATCGAAAGAAGAGAGCTCTCAAACACACGGCCCAATAGCGCTCCTCACACTTGCAGAAAGACAGGAACAAACCAAACCCCAAATTAGCAGAAAGTAAGAAACAGTAAGATTAGGGCAGAAAAATAATGAAAAAGTAACGAAATGGAGGCTAAAAAAAAACTATACAGAGAATCAATGAAACAAAAGTTGGTGTTATGGAAAAATAAGTAAGGTTGACAATCCCCTAGGTAATCTGACAAAAGAAGAAGGAAAGTTATCAAATCAATGAAATTAGAGATGAAAGAAGAATATCACAATAGATACCAAAATAATCCAAAGGATCATGAAGGAATACTTTGAAATCTTCTTATCAAATAAGTTGGAAGAATCCAGAAAAAAGAATTATTTTCTGCAAACAGTTGACCTATCATAAATTGAACCATGAAGATATAAACTGCCTCAAGAGATATATAAGAAATCATGATGATCTGGACACTGGTGTCTCACGCTGTAATCCTAACTATTCAGGAGGCTGAGATCTGAGGATCACAGTTCAGAGACAGCCCAGGCAGGAAAGTCTGAGAGACTTTTATCTCCAATAAAGCACCAGAAAATCAGAAGTAGTACTGTGGCTCAATGGTAGAGCACTAGCCTTGAGCTGAAGCGTGAGGGTCAGTGCCCAGGCCCAGAGTTCAAGCCCTACCACCGATCAAAAAAAAAAAAAAAAAAAAAAAAAGAAGTAATGATAGTGAAACATTAATAGTCTTTCAACAAAGAAAAACCCGGGACCAGATGGATTCATGACAGAATTTGATCAAACCTTTAAAAAAGAACAAACAATAAAATTCTCCATGAAATAGAAAGGAAAAATACCAAACTCCTTCTGTGAAGTAAATATTATACCAGAAAGACAGTAAGAAAATTATAGACCAATCTACTTAATGAACATTGATGCAAAAATTCTCAATAAAATCCTTACAAACTAAATTCAACAACACATCAAAAAATCATGAACAATGATTATGTTGGGTCCATTCCAGGGATTCAAGGATACTTAAAATATGTCAATCACTAAATGTAATATATCACATAAACAGGATTAAGGACAAACACACGTAATCATCTCAACTGATGAAGAAAAGCTATTTACTTTTTTATGATAAACGCTCTGAACAAACTAGGAATAGAAGGAAAGTAACCTGAACTTAATAAAGGCTATATATGACAACTTACAGCCTATACCTTACAAAATGGAAACAACCAAAACCATTTCAAGATTGAGAAAAGGATGTCCACTCTCTTCACTCTTACTCAAGATGGTACTGTAATTCTAGTCAGAGCAATACAGCAGGAGAAATAAAAAGAAATTGAAATAGGGAAAAAAGGAGTCAAATTATCAACTTTTTCAGAAGACATGATCATGCACTTAAAAGACGCTACAGATTCCACCAAAAATCTAGAACTGAGAAATTCCTTCAGAAATGTAGCAAGATACAGTCAACTCTCAAAAAAATGGTGGCATTTCTGCACGTCAATAATGAATAGGTTGAAAAGGAAATCCAGGAAACAACTGAATTCATTATAGCCTGAAAAATAATAAAATACCTAAGTTTACTTAATCAAGGAAGTGAAAGACTCTATAAGGAAACTATACAACTTTGGAGAAAGAAATTGAAGACATCAGAAGATGCAAAACCTTTCATACTCAAGGATTGACAGAATTAATGTTGTAAAAATAGCCATATGTACAGATTCACTGCAATACAATCAAAATTCTAACATTATCTCTCATAGAATTAGGAAAATCAGTCTAAATTTCATAGTATGTGATAGAAGACCCTGAAGAACAAAAGCAATTCCAAGTGAAAAGAACATCATGAAAGGTATCACAATACCAGACTCCAAAATATACTGCAGAGCCACAGTGAGAAAATCAGCTTGGTACTGGCATAAAAAGAGACCCGAAGACCAATGCAACAGTATAGAAGACCCAGGAATAAAATCACTCACCTACCAATGAATCATTTTTGACAAAGGAGCCAAGATCACATAATGGAGAAAAGAAAGCCTCAACAAATGCTGCCTGGGGGAACATTGGCTATCTATCTGCAGAAGACTGAACCCAGACCCCTATCTCTGGCCCTGTATAAAATCAACCCAAGTGGATCAAAGAGCTCAAAGGAAGACCTGAAACTTCAAGTCTACTATAGATAAATGGAGGCGAAACCCTGGTAGTTATAGACACAAGTAAATCTTTTCTGAATAGGATTCCAGCTGCCCAGAGGATAGGAGCAAGAATTGACAAAGGGAACTACATTAGAGTTTCTGCATAGTAAAAGAAACAGTCACCAGAACCAAGAAACCATCCACAGAAGTGGAGAAAATCTTCACCAGCTATTCCATAAAGGATTAGTATATAGACTATAGAAAGAACTAAAAAAACTAAACAGTTAAAGAACAAACAATTAATAAATGAGCAAGTGGGGATTAATATAGAGAATATATAAAGAACTCAAACCAGGTGCTGGTGGCTCACACCTGTAATTCTAGCAACTCAGGAGGCTGAGAGCTGAGGAGCTCAGTTCGAAGCCAGCTTGGATAGGAGAGTCTGTACAACTCCTATTTCCAACTAACCACCAAAAAACTAGAAGTAGAGTTGTGATTCAAAGTGGAAGAACACTAGCTTTGAGGGAAAAAAAAAATTAAAAAAGCTCAGAGACATCATCCAGGCCCTGAGTTTAAGTTCAATGGATGAAAACAATCAATCAATCCTAAAAATATTAACAGTAAGAGAACAAATAATCCAATTATAAAGGGGCAAGTGAACAAAAAGTAACACAGATTGGCTAATAAATACGTGAAGAGATGTTCAACATGCTAGCCTTAATGGAAACGCAAATCAAAACCACAGGGAGAATCCATCTCCCTCCAGTCAGAACGGCAGCAAATGCTGGCCAAGATGTGGGGGAATAAAGGAACCTCAAGCACTTTGGGTCACAAGGCTGCACTTCTTTGAAAGGTCACGGGAAAAAAAAAGAAAGGTCACAAAACTGGGCTTCTTTGAAAGGGACGCACGCTAGGCCTGGACACTAGGCCTGGGACTGCTGGGGTGTCACAAGGAACACATGCTGGCCCACAGTGAGGCGGGGAAAACTCACTGTGGTCTGAGCTCTGGATGTTTTTTTCCTCGGTCCTTGGTCTAACAGACACGATGTACTGGCCATGGGCCCTGGGGTCAGCCACAGGGATCCCACAGTGGTGCCGGGTGTAGAGGTCACCCACTTTCTCCTTCTGCACGGGGGAGCACTCTTTTTCCCTGGGGAGCACAAGTAGTTGAGGACAGGCCAGAGGAGAGCTGAAACCTCAAGTGAGCTGTGGTCCCAGGGACCTTCCGGGGCCCGAGGAGGAGGGGTGGGTCAGGACACTTACTTTGCACCAAGGCTGGACCTGTAGAAGAGTCCGAAAGAGACGGAGTGGATCACAGGGGACCGCACTTCCCAGGAGCAGGTGAGCATGTGGACCCCGTCGAAGAAGCACTGTAGGTTGCCGGGCTGGGCCTCGTCCCCTGGGAGGAGGGACAGGCTTGCTCAGCCACAGCTCTGGTTTTCTGTGCAGCTCGGACACAGAGAGCATGGTCACCAGGCCGTGGATGACAGCAGGCTGGCCCTGTCCGCTCTGTGCCACCAGCTTGAGAGGATCGGGGCTGGGTGAGCCATTTCAGGGCCAGGGATAGTCTCCAAGTGTTGGTGACAGAGGGGAACCTGTATAGAGCACTCCTGGTAGTGATCAGTGTTATTTGTCATGGACCCTAGGGTACAATGGGCAGAGTTGAGCTAGGACCCTGGCATGGATGTGGGACAGGCCTGGGATCTCAGATCAGGACCCAAAGCAGAGACCTTGGGGGACTCTTCCACCCCTACTGCCCAGAGAGAGGCACTTCCCCCATCGTCCCCTTACCTGGCTGGGAATCCCAGCGCACCTCAGGGCTCCACGGGCTGGGCCGTCCCGACATGCCTGAGTTCGAGGACAGCCTGGTCCGCACTCGGGCCACGTAGGTGCTGCTGGCCGTGAGGTGCTCTGGCCCCAGGGTGACTTGTGAGGACTCGGAGTGCAGGGTGGTGGCATCCTGCAGGAGAGGGGGTGCTGAGGGAGGGCCAGGCCAGGCGACGTCCCTGGCTGGGGCAGAGCCGCCTCCGGGTCCTACCTCCCACGAGTGGTGCCACTGCTTGTACGCCACCTCAAACTCCAGGTCCCTGTGTGACAGCCAGGGTGCTGGGGCAGCCCCCAGGGCCACCGTCCAGTTCAGCAGGAACTCGTCTCCCTTGCTCCTGACCTGGATGTCCTGGGGTGAGGGCGGCTGGACTGTGGGGAGAGGAAGCACGGGGCAGGTGAGGGCGGCCTGGCCACAGGATGACGCTCCTGCCAGTACCGTCTCCCATCACTGGTGGATGAGGAGGGGGATCCTTCCTCTACAGCCCTGGGCCCCTGACCTCCAGCACAGTGGGCCCCATGTGAAAGCAGTGGCAGGACTTGGGGAGGGGGGCTCTGAATGCGAACTACCAGCTCCTTAGGGGGGGCTGGAAACCAATCAGCAGACCCCTCCTGCCTAGCTGTGTACCACAGCCTCCTTCCCAGCAGAGGGCACTGCAGGCCAGACTGCTCGCTCCCCTGCGGCCCACTCTCCCTCCTATCCAAGTCCCCCAGGTGTTTGAGGACTGTCATTACCTGGTATAAGTGTCACCTGCTCTAGGCACCCACCCTCTTGGACTCCCACTCACTGGTGGAATTGCTTGTTCATGTCTCACTGCAGCTGTCTGTAACTACCCCACCCAAGCAGGATTATACATCCCCTCTGCCTTCCCTAGGAAGCCTGGAGCCTGGGGGCAGGGCTTGGGTCTTGACCCCCCTCGCCACCCCCTCCCCCGCCCACCTCCAGGCCTGAGAGGCAGCTGCGGTGTACTGGGGGGGTGGGAGGTAAGAGGAGGAAGGAATGGGCACGTGCACACAGTGGGCATCCTCGGGGAGTCATTACCCACCACCTGCGCCCCCCGCCCCCACTTTGCCCTCAACACACTGTTAGAAAGGCACATTCTTGAGGCCACAGCCCTGCTCTCCTCTGTGTCTGATTGCCAGCAGGGTGCACTCTGTGTAAGGGCCTCTCTTAGTGGGAGCCCTCAGAGTCCTAGGCCCCCCATGGTGCACACACAGCAGATATCACCCTGCCCCCACTGTAGCCAGGACAGGTGTTACTGCACTCCTGAGGCTGACACGGATGGGACGTCTTCCCAGCACCCAGCTGGAGGAAGCTGCCGCCAACTGAGCCCACGGGGCACTGGATGCAAGCCGTTCCCAGCCAACTTCAGCCATCTTACAGCACCTGCTCATGTCCCCGAGGGGGAAGTGGTAGAGGAAGTGAGACGTACAGATCTCCTGCCAACGCACATCTGTTCCTCACTCACTGCCAAGTTTTCAGGGACAAGAACTGATCTCCAGATTTAGAGAAAACCTCAGGAGACAAAACCCCACACTCCTCCATCCCCACTCTCCTCTCTCTTCCACCATGTTGGTCTTCCTGTCCACACTGTGACGTCCATGTGTCTTGCTGTGCCCTGCTGTAGGAGCAGGTGACTGAATCATGTGACTGCCTGCTGTGTTTGCAGCCGCACCTTGCCTTCATCCTCTGCCAGTCCCGAGTTCCGCCTTTATCCTATCTCTCCTTCATGAAGAGCTTCCTGGCTTCTTCCTAGTCTCCCTCTCATCTTCCACCCTGGGACCTCTTCCTTGTACTGCTCCCTACTCCTCTGCCCTGACTTCCTGTGCCCCTGCAAAGAGGCCTTCTTCAGTATAGCTGGAGCCCCACCTCCCTGGCCCTGGGACCCAGGGGACAGAGGGGCATCTACCTTCCCTGTGGGGCTTACAGCCCTGGGGTCTCAACCCTGCTGAGTACCCTTTGTTTCTCTCCCTCCCAAAGTCCCCTCTGTTCTGAACACCATACCCCATGAAGGGAGTTCCCAGCATGCCTCAGCCCTCTGCGCTTCCCGGCCCTTGCACATGTAGAACCCCTGCCAGCAATGCACCTCCTCCTCATCTGATCTCAGCTGCAAAGCTATTTCCTTCCTTCTGGAGTGCTCGTCTGGATCCTCCAAGGTCCCTGCCGCTACCCCTGGCGTGGCACACTAGCCAACATCTAGTGTTGCCCAATCCCTTAGACCTTAGCCCCGATTCCCCTGGGGGGAGGGTCTCTGATCTCCCAAATCTGTGTTTGGAAACGTGGCACACGTGACAGTTCATTTCGATTGTCAACATCACTGGAAGGCAAGGGCCTAGCAGATTAGTAAGCACATCTCTGGGTGCGTCTGACAGGTTGTCTCTAGAGATAGTGAGACCCTGAGAGTTCTGACCTAATGTATGGATTAACCCTTGGTAGATCCAGAATTGGAACAGACTATTTGCAGGTGTGGAACTGTAGGAGGTGGAGGTGGTTGGAGGAAGTAGGAGGTTGTCCTTGCCTGGCCCCTTCCTGTTACAGCCCTGCTCTGCTTCCTGTCCTCCATGGGAGCTGCTGTGCTGTGGGCCGGCATGCCCACTGTGATGAATGAATCCTCTGAAACTGTGAGTCAAATAAATCTGACTTCCTCTATGCCTCTGTCATGCATTCTGTCAGTGTCTAGAAAGCTCACCAACAAGGCATGCCAACACTATAAAATAACTTTCCCTTCTATTTAGGAAATACTGCAGGACTGGCTTTATTTCCTCTATTGCATCCTGGAATAAGCCCTTAATGGACACAATGCCCTTTGGTACCTCTCAAGACCATGCTGCTGTCCTGGGCCCCCAGTGGCCCCAGGACCTCCAGGGAGGGCAGTGGGGAGACAGGCTCCGGGTCTAACTCATGGGAGAGAACACGACCTGTACTGCCATCGCTACTCGCAGGTCAGGTTGCATGGTGGAACCTCTCCCAACCCCATGGGCTGCAACCATGGAATGGGTTGTTGTAGAAGGAAGACGAGCGAACACAAGGAAGAGTCCTGTCTGCTGACACCCCCTCCACCACAGGAATAGTGGAGGAGGCCTTCAGCCTGGGAGCCATGGCTGAGCAGGTGACAGGGGGGGCTGGGGTACAGGGGAGTTGAGTGGGGAGCTTGGGTGGAGGCCCTCACACTGCACCCCTGCAGCACCTCCAGCACAAGGACTCCACAGCTTCTTCTGTCCAGGGACCTGATCTTAACCCCAGGACAGTGCCTCTGCTCCTCGAGCCCCTCACCCTGGCCTGTTGTGAGGTCCGCTGTGAACAGAGGCCAGTTCTCTCACCATGCTGGTCCAGCAGAACTGTGCTCTGGATGCTCAGAGGCCGGTCGGGTCGGAATGAGAAGTAGTCATTGTCAGAGAGGACAAAACTCTCGTAGGGAATGATACATCTTCTGGAGACACAGCGGGAGGATGGGCAGCCTGGCTTGGGCAAGTGGCCAGTGGAGTTACAGGCCACGGGCCGTGCACGATCCCTGTCAGGACAGAACACTCATGATCCTAGAGGGAATAAAGGCCTCCCACGGCTCACAGAGCTATCGAGTGTCCCTCGCGTGCTGGGTTTTGTCTGGGCTCAGGGTTGGGGTGGTGAGGACACGCAGATCCCATGATAACACAGGAACAAGAGGAGAAGGCCTCAGACCATAGGAAAAGAACACAGGCCAAGAGACTAAAGGGACTGGCCCCGGGGCACCAGGGAGCCTGTGAGGCTCACGTGGAGGTGGGGGAGTGGATGATGCAAGCCTGAGCCATGGGACCTAGGCTCAGGCCTCAGTATTAACTGGGATGGGGATTCCCTGCAGGGCCCCCGCCCTGGGACAGGTGGCTACAGGGGGGATGGGGAGGGGCAGTGGTGGAGAGGAGGCTTGGAACTCTGGGATTTGCCTTTGGGCTTCTGCTGGCTCAGGGCAAGGAGGGAGGCCACCAGTTGAGCAGAAGATGGCCGGAGGAGATGGACAAGGCACAGGGCGCACTCAGAGAGGGCACAGAGGGCACAGGCCTCCTGTAGAGGTGCTCCCTTCAGGGGGTCTGGCATTGCTGGATTCTAGCCTTGTATTCTTTCCACCTAGGACCCATCTCTGATCTCCCAGAGGAAAGCCGGCCACCTGCCTGAATGGCCTGTTCAGAGGTGGCCACCAGTCCAGAAGGGAGCCAGCTATGAGCCATGGGAGATGGAGACCCCACCTTGGCCCATAGGCCCTGTCTCGGTGTCCGTTCTATACTGCCTCCCGCCCCCCCCCCCAACCTTGTGGCTGTCTCCTGCAGCAGGCTGGACCCAAGACTCCCACATCACACACCAGTACCCAGGCCTAGTACTCTCTGCCTAGTGTCTCTGGTATTGACTCTGATTCAACCCTCTCCACCCCCAGCCTACACGGGCCTGGGTCTCTGGTGCTAGCTTTACTCACGTGTTGAGCCGGCGGTACAGGGTGACATTGATGAACTTCCTGGCGTCCTCGGTGTCCGCCCAGCTGCAGAAGATGTGGCTGGTGTAGTCATTGTAGCAGCTCAGGGTCTCCAGAGGGACTGTGCCTGGTGGGGAGAGGCAGGAGGGTGTCACCCATCAGCTCCTCAGGTTGCCCAGCCCTGGTGTCCAGCTTCCGGTAGAAGGCCCAGGTGTCCAGAGGAGCCTCTCACTGGGGCGTGTCTTGGACATCCCTCTCCAGACAGGCAAGCAGGGACCACAGAGGATTCTCAGTATGTATAGGGGAGTTGCCATGCCCCACCCCCCCGCCAAGGTCAGGACATGCTTTGGGCTCTCTCCACATGCCACCTGGCAGGAAAGGCACAACGGGGGGTCAGCTGCAGCCTGCCAGCCGTGTACCCTATACTGTGGTGTGAGTCTCAGCCTGGGTTTAGCAGAGAGGATGCGACACTCACAGTCCTCATGGAAGTTGCTGTGGATTGGGGAGGGAGAGAAACCTGGGGCACCGTCCTCCCAGGGACAGGGGCTGGAGGTGGGAAGCAGCGGTCAGCAGAGGGGCAGAGGGTACAGTGGGGAAGAGGTCAGAGGAGAGGCTGGAGCAGCCTAGAGGAATGTGGGGACACTCTACAGAATGTGGTAACAATTTATGGAGACACCCTATGGCTGGGTGTGAACCCCACAGAGACCAGGAAAAGTTGGGCAGGGTTGTGGGAGCAGGGATGAGGGACCAGGGACAGAGCGGTGGAGGAAGGCGGGGCTGCCGATACCTGGGAGTCTGTGGGGGGGTGGCCCCCTCAGATCCAGCAGTGAGAGGGGTATAAAGGGGTTTATCTGTCAGACTCACCTTCTGTCACCAAGCTGGGACTCCAGCACACAGCCAGCAGGGCCATGTGGAGAAAACCCCAGACTGGCGCCATCTCCTGGTCACCCATGGACCTACAGGTGGGTGGCACAGGCTTGTCTGGGTTTCCCCTGGTGGGAAGCTAGGCCAGGTCCATGTCTCTGGCTCTGGAGATTCTTCTCTTGGAGTCTCCACCTCCTCTGGGCCTGTAGACAGTATGGGCTGTGTCAGCTCTGTGCTGACACAGAGGACCAGCTTGGTCATGCACTGAGAGTCCAGGGAGGTGGCCTGATGCACACCCCCTTTCTCTGAGGGTTGAACTGGAGGGGCTGGGCTTGCTGGCTGGTCACTGAAACTGGGACCCTCTGCACGCTAGTACAGTGCCCAGAGATGAGGACAGCTACGGGGAGGCCTGGTGTGTGCCAGCCCTTACTGCTCTGGGAGCTGGCTATGCCATCCCAGTGTGATCGCTTTCTTCTCCCCCTCCCTCCCCTGCTCTCTCCTTCTCTCCCTGTGCTCCCTCTTCTGTGGCATGGAGATGGGTACTCTCCCGCTCTGCTGCACTTGCCATTTCTTCCACAACACTCTCTGCTAGTCAGTTCCCTATTCCCAAAGCCTGGGGATTTCCCCATTTTCCTTCAGACTACCAGGGAAGTACCCAGAGGCCAACGAAGACCTAGCAAGCTGCCCTTTCTCCAGTAATGTTCAAAACATCACACAAAATGTGTGTGCTGTCTCTATCTTCCTCTCTATCTATGGTCTGTCATCTATCTATCATCTATCTACCTGTTCCTCCATCTGTATCTATCCATTCACCCATTCATTCATCATCCATCTGCCCATCCACCCATTTATCCAACCATCCACTCACTCATTCATCCACCTACCCATCCATCTACATATTTGTCTATTATCTATAATCTATCCATCTATGCATCATCTATCCATCTACCCATCCATTGACCTATAATCCATCCACCCTTTCATCCATCCTTCCATTTATCCATTCACCCATTTATCCAATCCTGTATTCATTCATCTACCTATCCAGCTACCCATCATCCATCTATACATCCACCCATGTGTCTGTTTTTCTATCTAGGGTCTATCATCTATCCATCTGTCCACCCATCCATATGTAATCAATCAATCAATCTATCAATCAATCAATCAATCAATCTATCTATCATCTATCTATCTGCATACTGGTTAGAAACAAACTATTTTATTCAAGGATGTCCTGCATGATGAGGAGGGAATCAGGGAATCCATTTAAAATTCTGAAAAGGGAGGAATTTGGGGGAGGATGCAATTGCAATAATCAATGCATATCCTATGAAACTAGGAAAACTGGAGTTGGAAAAGATGGAGGAGAATGTTGGAAGGAGTGACATTAATCAAGATGTATTCTACTTAGAAAGTGGATGTTGAATGGTAACCTCTTTGTACAATGACTTAAAGATAAATTAAAAATTAGTAAAATGCTAGGAGAATTAAGTAATATTGGAAACCAGCCCAAATCTCCATCACATACCATTCTCCAAACATGTTCTTAAATAAAAATGTAAATGCTAAAAATGAAATCACATTATATTTAAGTTACAGAAGTAAATAGTTTTGCCCTATTTACACTTAAAAGAAATCACAGGCAAAGTGTGACAGATAAAAGTGAAATCAAACCAACATCTTCTGTTTTATACAAATAATTGAATCACAAAGCAAAGGATAAAATGTGGAGGAAAAAAGTCTGCACCAATGTCTTAATCTGTCAAAGCCAATATCACAAAACACCATAACCTGGTGGCAGTTTATAAAAACAAGAGACTAAGTTTGACCAGGAACACTGCAGGGATGCATGGAAGTGTCACAGCCAATGCTCCTTCTCCAATTAGCATATGCTAATAAAAATCTTTTAAAAGATCAGCAATTACCAGGGGCTTGGGGAGAGAGGGATGGGTGAGAGAACATGGAGGAGATTCAGGGAGACACAAAGGACTCCATGGGAGGTGAAGGATGCTGTACACGTCACCGTGACTCCTCCAACCGCAGAGCAAGCAACAACTGTAGAATGGGGAGCCTTTGGGAGGCGCTGGGCTCTGCGGTGATGGCTCCTCAGTGTAGGTTCAGGGGTTTGTGGCCCACGTTCCACTTTGGTGCAGGACAGGACATGGGTGTTTGCGTGGGGGAGGGCTGTGTGCATGGCGGTAGTGGTGCAGGGTGTATGGGAACTCAGTTTTGCTGTGAACCTAAATCTGCTCTAAGAATAGAGTCTATTAAACACACAAAACAAATGGAACTACAATAGAAAGAACTAAAAGAAGGAAGAAAGGGAGGAAGAAAGGATGAAAGAAGAAGGGGGGAAAAGAGAGGGAGGAAAAGGAGGGAGAAATAAAGAAGGAAGAAAGGGGAAGGAAGGGAAGAAAGAGGGAGGGAGGGAGGGAGGGAAGAAGGAAGGAAGGAAGGAAGGAAGGAAAGAAGGGAAGGAAAGGAGAAAGGAGGAAAGGAGGAAAGGCTGAATGGATGGATGGATGGGAGGGACAGAAGGAGGGAGGCAGGGAAAGCAAGCAAGCAAGCAAGCAAGCTGGGTATGGTGTCAGAAAGCTGTAATCCCAGCATTCCGAGGGCTGATGTAAGAGGAGCAGGCAGGCATCTGAGGCCAGTTTAAGATACACAGAAAGACCTTGTCTCAAAACCAAAAAGAAAAAAGATAAAAGGAGGCTGGCACTTGAGAGGGATTGTAGATTACCAGGAGTTATACTGGCATTTGGGGGTAGGGCTGGGGCTCAAACCTGGGGATTGTGCACACACTAGGTAAGTAACCTACTACTGATCTACACACCCAGCCAAACCAGCACCTTAACAATAGTGAGTCTTCATACCAACTAACAAAGAATGTTTTCCATTTATTTAGCTCTTAAACGTCTTTCTGCAAGGATTTGAAATTTCAGTTCTACAAAGTGTTCAACTCCTTGGTTAAATTTACTCTCTGTTTATGCTTTTATACACTAGTTTACATGGAATTGCTGTTTCAATTTCCTTTTTTTTGGGGGGGGGTCTGGTCATGGGGCCTGAACTCTGGGTCTGGGCTCTGTCCCTCAGCTCTTCAGCTCAAGGCTAGCACTCTACCACTTGAGCCACAGCGCCACTTCCAGCTTTTTTCTTTTTGCTTATGTGGTGCTGAGGAATTGAACCCAGGGCCTCATGTGTGCAAGGCAAGTGCTCTACCACTGAGCCACCTTCCCAGCCCCCTCAATTTCCTTTTTGATCATCCTTGCCGGAGAACAAAAATATAAATGACTTTTGTGTTCTGACATCGTGTTCTGAAATGACTCTGAATTGGTTCATTAGCTTTATTTGAATTTGTTTTTCAGCACTGTTTAGTACCTTATTTGTTAAGAGATTTTGTGGATTCCTTGGGGTTTCCTATATATGGGATCATGTCATCTCAGAATAAAGTTATTTTGACTTCTTGGGTTTTTTAATTTAAAGCAAAACAAAACGAGAGACTTGTGAGGCAGGTGCCTGTGGCTCATATCTATAACCATAGTTACTCAGGAGGCTGAGATCTGAGGATTGCAATTCAAAGCCAGACAGGGCAGAAAAGTCTATGAGACTCTTAGCTCCAGTTAACTAGCCCCTAAAAAGCCAGAAGTGGAGGCATGACTCAAGCCTTGAGTGAAAAAGCCAAGTGAGAGGGCAAGGCCCTGACTTCAAGAACCCCAGGACTACTCTCCCTCATTCCACTTTTTTTTGGTTACATAAAAGCAAAGGAAGTGTTCAAATCTCTCCTGGAGAAAAATTGCTCTAAGGTGTATTTCTGAGAAGACAAATTCCAAAATGATAGGAGAGCACACATTGCTAGAGTTAAAGCAAGTGGGACTTACAGTTAAATAGGAAAAAGAATGTTACTATGGAAAGAAACACCATGTAAACACACAACAAAGTTGAACTAAAACTTGGGCAACTTTGTCATGGGGTTGGCTGTGTGGTCAGAGGAGGAGAACTGAAAACTTACTGAAGACTTTGTCCTTTTTGAAGAGCATGTATGCCTGCATGAAACCTAAACTCTGAGAAGAAATCTACCTTAGCTTCTCCCTCCCTCCCTTCCTCCCTCCAGCCCTCCCTCCCTCCCTCCCAGTAAAAGTGAGCACGAGGAGCTTTGTGCCCATCTCCAGTGGCTGGCTGTCCTTCCCCAGATCATCCTGTTCTCAGTGCAGCAGGAATGAAGGCTCCACACAGACTTAACATGGGCTTTCCAGACTGCTCCCAAATTCTAACAAACCAAAGACGATAGTTAGGCTCTGTTTGCCGGAAAAAAAGGATCATCACAGTAGATAGAAAACAATAGGGAAATAATCCAGTCTATATATGATTTGGGGAATGGTGGCTTTTCAAATCACTAAGACCTGGAAGGACTCATACTGGTCATGAATAATTTCAAGACAAGCAGATGATAATTTTTTTAAAGTTAGATTATTACACATAACCTGTAACTCTGAATTCAAAGATGAAATGAAGATTCCAAAGACAAAACTACCTGGGTGTGGTGGTGTATACCGTAATCCCAGCACATAAGAGGCAGAAGCCAAGGAGACTGTTTGGACTACAGAGTAAGATTCTGTCTGCAAACACGTGTGTGTATGTGCACACGTGTGTGCGTGTGCATGTGCACACATACATACATCAAAATTCAACTAATAACAGCATCAAATCTATTTCTTTAATCTGAGGGGTTGCATAAGTCACTAAAGTCAGAAACCACAGAGCAAAAACCAGCTTAATAGGTTTCCTGTGATCCTCTATGGAGTCTGAATGGTTAGCAAACATCAGAAGATGGGCAACTTTAATGGCCAGCAGGTAGGGAAAGGGGTCAGGAGATAGTGAGCAAATTTCCATGCAATGCACTGAGCAAGACACTGAATAATCAAAACTGTCCCAGCTCAGCCTGTCTGAGGGATGTGACATGGGTCCTATCTCTCTGCAGACACCTTCTATGTGGGGGTCCAGGATGGGGAAGACAGGAAAGCTCTGGGAACCAGTGCTGTGTCTGTTGGGGTCAACAGTGGCATCTATACGTCAATATTGTTGTCAGTATTTTCTATGTCATAATAATAATACAATGCTGAGTCATACAAAAATCCCAATTCTATAGAAAGAAAGGAGTGGCTGGGGACTCTGCTTTCTATGCTACATGACTCTGGATTGTTCTCCTTTTATTCAACAACAACAGGTGTTAAACACTAAACACATTCAGCAACCAACTCAGGCTCACCCACAGCACTGGCATCTGGCTGTATGGGCGCAGGGATAAAGGAGATACAGAGTGCCAGCTGCTGACGGTTGGCTCCCTTTTAAGTTATTAAGAAGCAGGAGAGATGACCGGAAAACTTCAAAACTATGCAAAAATCTAAGAGTCACTGGCAATGGAGCCTGGTGGGTGAGAGCCTATGCGCTCCTGGTGGCGCTGCCCTACCATGCCCGAGACTGGGGCTCACACAGGAGGGATGGGGCAGGTTCCTCCACTCAGCCAGAACACACCCGAGCCCAAACTCCAACCGGCAACGGGTGGGTCAGGGCAGAGTATGATAGATAAATGACACATAGAGAACGAGAGAGAGAGAGAGACAGAGAAGAGAAAGGGGGGGAGGGAGGAATGTACAGAGAATCAGAGATAAGAGACAGGGAGAGAGGGAGAGGGGGAGAGGTCCTCCTTTGCCTCCCTGTCTGTGCACAATACCACCTCATAGTTGTGCACATCCCCTGGTACACAGGTGTACACATGCAAACACACACACATATGAATACACACGCATGCATTCCCTCCCTCCCTGGGAGGCCTGGTTCAGCAGACAGAAACCTCTGGGTGAGGAGGAGACACTCATTGCCACGAACACCTTAGTGGCCCAGGCAGCTGGCTGTCCCACAACCCCCAGATCCCCCAGGCCTTTTCCCTCCTGGACTCTCGCTGTCCCCGCAGCCAGCCTTGCCCAGGAAGCCGGGCCTTACCTCCGTGCCATGGGTCAGGCTGGCCTCCACTGGGAGCCTCTAGGCAGCCAAGAGCGTCCCAGGCTTCCTATTTATTTATGCTGACGTTGTGGTGAGGAAACAGTGAAAGAGGAAGCCCAGACGCCCTTTTACCAGCATCATCAGCTTCTCAGAAATGGGGACATTATTGCTAATAAACCACAGGACATTCATTGCTTTGCCGGACCTTGCTACCTCCTCACAGCCCTCCTAGATTCCCAGGGGGTAGCGAAGGGAGGCAGGAATAACTACACAGCATGTCTGAGCGCAGAGCCAGACGCGCCGGGGGGTTTGATGCCCGCTACTTCTTAGCACGTGTCCTTGTGTCACTTGTGTGTGACTTCTCCAGGCCTGGGACCCTGTCCCATGCTTTCCCAGAGAAGCTGCAAATGTAGAAGGGCTACTGGGAAGACACACAGTGAGATGTTGGTGGGGAGGGAGGGGGAAGAGGGGAATGACCCTAGCCCACCCCTCCCCTGGCCACTGGAAGCCTAGCATGCCTCTTTCCCGGGTTGCTTGAATTCAGGGCCTCGATATTGTCTCTGAGCGTCTTTGCTCAAGACGGGTATTCAACCACTCGAGCCACAGCTCCACTTCCAGCATTTTTGGTGGTTCATTGGAGATAAGAGTCTCATGGACTTTCCTGCCTGGGCTGGCTTTGAACCTGGATCATCAGATCTCAGCCTCCTAAGTGGCTAGGATTATAGGTGTCAGCCTTGTTCCTTCCTCCAGTGCCCTGCCGCCTTCCTGAAGTGAGTCTTCAAAGTGAGTTTCTATCTGGCTCACATGTCCCTCCCTCCCCTGTACCCAGCACAAAGAAGGCCCTTCGTGACAGAACACAGAGCGGGTGAGTAAGTGAGTAAATGAATGAGGCTCTGGGTACAGCAGGTCTGGCCGGATGAAGAACAGGTGAGTGAGTCACTCCACCAAAAACAAAAACAACTCAAATAAGTAATCACATCTTAATGCAAAAACATCATCCACATGAATGCAAAACATGCAGGATGCATGGACGCTCGTTGTTTTAGATAAATGCAGGATAGGTAACTGTGCCTGGCCTCAGCAGGCTGGGGACTGAGGCCTGGGAAACCAAAACAGAAGTCAGAAAAATCACAGGATGGCCGGTCGGAGCCCCTCAGTGAGCCGCAGCCAGCATGCGGACCGCTCCTGGTTTGAAGTGATAATAAATCAACTCGTCCGTGTGTTCTCTCTTCCTTCAGAAATATTTACAGTCATCAAATGGCACTGGCCAAAAATCCTGTAGAAATAGTGAAAAGCTTTTTGTTCTCACACAGCATGGTCTGCGTCTGCTCCTTTTATCTGTCTACCCCAACTGCTCCAACATTAAGAGAAATGGTATTTCCTCATAGGTTGAGCAGTGGTTGCTCTGAGTAGCATCTCAGGTTCAATGAAGTTAATGTATCACCAGACAGCCCTGAATCTGAACGCATGTCACTGCTGTGGTCATGTCTAGCACGCTCATGGATAGAATTAGGACACTCATACACAAAGATGGCCAGAAACCAGAAACACTTGATTCTGCTCACACCCTATTGACAAGTATAGTTGCTTGTTCAGTTTTGGAAGGAATTACTGATCAGGACCCAAGAAAGCCTCCTTTTGCTTTGCACTTGCCACTAGTCTGTCTGTCCCCAACCCCTGCCATCTCAGGAAACAAAACCTCCCAACAAATGTGCCCTTTCCAAAAAAATGCATTTCCCACTCCATTACAAATCCGGATTCCAGTTTAAATGGAACACAGGCAGGCAACAGAAGGGTCTTGGAAAACTTTACAAAGCACAGGTGTCTACACTATGTTGGAGCTACCCAACAAAGCTGTAGATCCAAAAGAAGATCCAAGATGGTGGACAAGAGACAAGGCAATGCCAGCACTCTGTACAATCAGAAACACAAGGCCTTATCCCAAGAATCCAGATTGGGAGCAGATGCCAGGGAAAGGCAAGCAGTCAGAGCCAAGCACCAATCAAGAAACATCAAACTTGCTGGGTACCAGTGGTTCACACTGGTAATCCTAGCTACTCAGGAGGCTGAGATCTAAGGATTGCGGTTTGAAGCCAGCCTGGGCAGGAAAGTCCGTGAGCCTCTCATCTCCAACAAACTACTCAAAAAAGCTGGAAGTTGTGTGTGGCTCTAGTGGTAGAACACTTGCCTTGAACAAAAAGAAGCTCAGGGACAGCAACCAGGCCCAGAGTTCAAGCCCCAAGGACTGGCAAAACAACAACAACAACAAAAAAAATAAAACAAAACAAACCATCAAATGTATAACTCAGAAAGAGGAGAAAAATACATAGCAAAATATACAACAAGTCCACAAAACCAGGTTCCATGCCAGCCTGCCGGGCCTCAGTGCTCCAGGCCGCAGCATGCAGCTCTGTGCGGATTGTGGTTTGGTGTGAAGAGCCCCACTAGGAACGGAAGCACACTCAGGGCAGACCTCCACTCTGGGAAGCCTGACACGCGAGGCAGATCTCCCCGGAGGCTCTCCACACAGGCAGCCCCCATGGCGTGAAAGCAGCTGCGGTGCAACAGAGAAATGACTTCTCAGGCAAAACCCAGGTTGGAGACCACATGAACCCCAAACTCTGTGAGTCACACGCTCCCCATCCTCAGGTGGCCTGTGAGGGGGACTGGGGAGGATCTTATCCCCTGGCTCAGAAGTAGGTGTGCGATGTAAGAAGGTGGGGGAGGAAGCATAAGCAAGAGACAGAATCCCAAGCTCAGGACCCAGAGACCGCATTGGTCTCGGCCTGCACTGGGAAGGTGAGAGTTCCATCGTCAGACTGTGTCAGGAGTTCGCACAATGGGGAGTTCAGGACCAAGGAAAAAGTGTGGTGACAGGCACTCAGAGACAGCCTCAGTCTCAGGCCATCAGCCAAGAGCGGATTCCGCCTCTGGCTGATTGAACAGGTTCAGAGATTGGGCGTGGGCAAAGAACAAAGCCTGGGGCTCTGGGCCAGAAGGCCCTAATTTCAGAGTTCTGCCCCCTCCCCCCAACTCTGCCACCAGTGCAGAGTGAAGGCCGGCCCAGTACTAGCCTCTAGGAGGGGTGGGGGGAGGCCCTAACCTGGGAACAGTCTCTGTGGGTCCCCTAGTGTGGTCAGTGGGCACAAGGGGGGGGGGGGTACTGACCTTGGGAGCAGTCTTGGCAGGTCCCTTAATACCTGAACAGTCAAGGTGGGTCTCTAACGCTGCCCAATACGCTGCGGGGCGGGGGAAGAGGGCTGCATATAGCCAACCCATCTGTATATTCACGAGAGGGACAGAGCGACAGAGGGACACCACCAGTCACGGGGCGGGGAGAGGGGAGGATGTGCCCACCCAAGCCAGACCTTACATCCCTGGACAGAATGCCACCAGCCTCCAATGGCAGGACGGGGGGGGTGCAACCAGACTGTGTGTGCACCCCCGGTGTGAGAAGCTGCCACCCACAGCATTGAGGGTTACACCCAGACCACACAGCCTCAAAAGCCAGTCGGGGCATCCAGGCATGGGATGCCCCCACCCATACTGCCCAGGGTCTGCGCCTAGCTGACCCCCAAAACCCATCCGTTCTTCACCTGTGGGATGCCCTCACCCATGGCACCGGGGGCTCTACACCCAGCTGGCCCCAGAAGCCTGCTTAAACAAACAAGCACAAGAAGCCAGTAACAGTCCAGAGTGCCGGGTTCAAGTCCCTGCATACCACACCCTTGGGTGTTGCAGCCAGAGACAGAACTCAGTTGGACACAAAAGCCTGCCCATGCCACTCCAGGGGATACCAACTACACAGCACCCAGAGAAAACTAGAAAACCACAGCTCATAACCACCGAACCTAATATCTAATCTTAACAACCTCTACAAAGCCAGAACCCAAAGGGGTAAATTACAGCAAAAGATCATAAAATTTACAAGCTGTCAAGACAAAGTGCCATTCCCCAAAATCAACAAAGCAGGGAAGGACTCTAGTGAGAGCAAAGAAGAAGCCTAGAGAACAAAAGAACCATTAAAGCAAGGGTGAGAGAAACAGACAATGAAGTGGAAGGGCAGACCCAAAACAAAACAGAATTCAAAGAGGAACTGACCAAGAAAATGCAAGTCATAGACAAGAAGACAGAAACATTACACACCTCCATGAAGGAGATGAAAGATGAAATTAATACTAAGAACTGACATTAACACAGCTAGGAGACATGAAAGACTCTGTCCCTATTGCAAGGCACAGTTGAAAGCAGAGGCAATTGAACAAATGAAGTAGAAAACAGGGTATCAGGAGTTGAGAATAAAGCAGAAAAATTAGAACAAAGAAACCAAAGGCATGGGAAAAGCACTCAGAACATACCAAAGGGACAGTAAAAGAATTGGCAGATTCAAGCTTACAGGGACAAATGGTACGTGTTCTCTCTGCTATGTGGATATTAGATCTAAAGTGGACTGGGATTAAACTGCCTCAGATTCTAGATACTTGCACACAGTGAGACCAAAAAAGGACACTCTTAGGAGGGAAACACAAAGGTGAAACGCCTTCATTTTTATATAAAACAACACACATAACTCCAAGATATGCAAACAGACTTTAAAAAGTTTTTGATGATTCTGTTTTCTTTTCATTATGTACAGTGTATTCACGTGTAAATTTTGGGAGGGTGGGGGGGAGGGAACAAAGCTTGAGGGGAAAGGGGTGAGGAAGTGCAGCAGTAGAGCTCATTGGACGCTGGTGAAAGTGAGCTCTATAACTTGTGGGTGGAGACAGGAGGGAGGGACTGGGAGGGGAGGAGGAAACGGAAGACACTATACGAAAGGAAATGTACCCATTACCTGACTTATTAACTGTAAGCAGATCTCTGTACATCATCTTTATAATAGCAATAAAAAATAAAAACAAAAAAGAAAGAAAGAAAATGAACTACATAACTTATGGGGAAGATGGGAGGGAGAAAACTGGGAGAGAACATGGGTAAGGGTGACATTGTCTTATGTAACTAATCCCTCTGTACATCACCTTTATATAGCAACAATAAAAAATACAACGGATCCAATGACTCACAGACGAGGGTCTTGGCAATGATA